GTCAATCAGGGTTCGTCTCGTCACGACATGACTAACAACATGGTAAATGCAGCTTGCAATGCTTGACGAGTAAGGCACATGAGCACAAAACCCCCTTGGTACCATTTCCCCGGGGGCCTGTCAAGCTCCTGGTTTCAGCGAGAGTTGAAAGTTTCCGTACTAGCAGGGATGGTTGGAGAAGCTTTGTATTTATGTTCTGGTATAGGGTTCGGAGTCTATAGGGTGTCGGTTTCAGGAAAAACGGTCGGATTGGGGTACTGCTACTCTCCCGCACCGCTTTGTGAGCTCCGGAAGGGCCCCAGAAGAAGATGAGCAGCCGGCTGGTACCATTTCCCCTCCCCTGGGTAACAGAGAAAGCACTCCTGCGAACGGCGTCCCTCCCGACACAACTTCAAAACGGGTTTAGGGGTTTAGGGTTGAAGGTTTCTGGTGTCTGGTTTTCCGGATTTTGGGGTTTCCAGGGTTTAGGGGTTCAGGGTTCCAGGTTTCTGGTGTCTGGCTTTCCGGATTTGGGGTTTGCGGGCTTAGGGGTTTAAGGTTCAAGGTTTCTGGTGTCTGGCTTTCCGGATTTTGGGGTCTCAGGGTTTGGCTCTAGGGGTCTAGGGTCCAAGGTTTCTGGTGTCTGGCTTTCCGGATTTGGGAGTTTGCGGGCTTTGGGGTTTAAGGTTCAAGGTTTCTGGTGTCTGACTTTGCGGATTTTTGGGTTTGGAGTTTGGGGGGTCAGGGTTCGAGGTTTCTGGTGTCTGGCTTTCCGGAGTTTGGGGTCTCCGGGTTTAGGGGTTTAGGGTTCAAGGATTCTCATGTCTGACTTTCCGGATTTTGGGGGTTGGGGTTTAGGGGTGTAGGGTTCAAGGTTTCTGGGGTCTGGCTTTCTGGATTTTCGTGTCTCAGGGTTTTAGGGTTCAAGGTTTCTGGTGTCTGGCTTTCCGGATTTGGGAGTTTTGGGTGCAGGGGTTCAGGGTTTCAGGGCTACGGTCCTCCAAGGTTCATCCGCAAAAGCTCACAAAAAACAAATTGATGAACTTCGGTCCCAGGGTTTAAGCGGCGTTAGGGTTTCAGGGTTGATAGATTTCGGGGCTCTGAGTTCCGGTTTTCTTTCAGGGCTTGGCATATATATATATATATATATATATGGAATCTCTGGGTTCGGAGTTTCTCATGGCTTGCGGTTTCTGGGTTTCAAATTTCCGGGTTCAGAGTTTCTGGAATTAGGCTTTCTCAAATCGGGGTGTGTGGGTGGGTCTGCGGTTTCTGGTTTCGGGTTTGAGGCCGCAGGGTTTCTGGGTTTAAAGTTTCGCCCTGGAGAGTTTCTGTTCGGGGTTTCTGGGTTCGGGCTTCTGCGTTCAGTGTTTCTGGCTTTGTTAGGGTTTGGGAATGGGGGTTCAAGATATCGGAGTTTGAGTGTTGTAGGTTTCTGGCTTTGGGGCTTTGCCTCTTCCGTTAGTCCTTATGCTTCCCGGCCCGAGTTTGATCTTAAACGCAAACAAGCGAGAAGCAGAGTCACGCCACTATTGCGATAGTGCGGAGGAACGCACGGAAGCTACGATTTTACAATATCGTTGTGCCTGCCCAGACGTTGTTTTTTACAATATCAGGCGTTGTGACTTCAAGGGGGTCCAAATTGTAATTTACAATTTGAACCCCCCCCAGGGGTTAAGGGAGGGGGGGATGCTTGGACGTTGACCCGATAATGCTAGAAATGTCACCATCGAATCCGGAATCAATGCCAGTGGATGACTCTGGACAGCTAGCTGCTCATGACATACTGTTACCTGCAGTACAAACAGGGTGAGTCGCACTGTCAAACGCCATTGGCATGGCGCCTTGAACTTTCCGCATGCTCGCAGCCTCGAATTAAACACTTCGCTTTAAAGAGGGTCCATCGTTGAAGTGCAGGTCCAGTGGCTGCCTAGCATTGGGCGACTGCAGGGAGCTCGGCGCAAAAACCCTCAAGGCTCACCCGAAAACCCTCCTTCGGCACGTCGCTGCAGACTTCGAACTTGAGCCAGCGAGGTGAGGAGTGGGTCAAGAGGCCGGTACAGATTCCGTCTCAGCCTCAGCAGAGAGAGAGAGAGAGAGACCCTAATTCGAATGCCCAAGCCAGAGGGGAATACCCCCCCCCTTCCCACAGCAAAACCTCACAATAACGTCTTCCTTCTTGCCATTTCCCATATTTCGTCTTTCCGAATTGCAGTCGCTGAGGGAAGTTGCGCTTCATGAGGGCACCCAGTGCCGAGGGCATGCGTTGCAACTTACTCACCCCCCAACAGTCGGGGGCGCTGACGCGCGCGGTGTACAGTAGGGGGTAACCTCTACACCATAACCTTGGCGAAAGAAAGAGAGAGAGAGAGAGAGAGAGAGAGAGAGAGAGAGAGAGCACAGGCTGCCCCAGCGGGGGCATGCCCTCAAGCCTGGAGAAAGAAAGAGAGAGAGAGAGAGAGAGAGAAAGACTGCAAAGTAGTCAGTGTAAAGGGGGTTTCGTGAGAGCAGCCGCGCCTCATTGGGAAGTGAGCAGCGGACAGACTTGAGGGGGGCTTGCTCCCCTTGTCCGTATGCAAGCAAGACCCCAAAGCCCTATTCCACCAAAAACGGGGGAATCGGGGGGCCTACCGGGTCCGCGTGCGGACTCGACCCCAGTGGATGGAAGGAAGGAAGGAAGGAAGACAGAGGGAGAGCGAGAGAGAGAAAGAGGCCTTCGGTTCGGGTGTTTCGGCAGCTTGCCAATAGCTCCCTTGAGTGGATGCTGTTGAAGAGAACCATAAATTCGATCATAAGTTCTGTCAAAAATCAGAAATATAGTCGGCATGATTTCTCAGCGAGCGGTACTTTCACCAGGCAAAGAATCTTTAGCTTGAGTTGTTTTATCGCTCGGGCCGAGGCCAGAAAAGTTCGGAAACCAGCGAGTCGTGGACATCATGGCCCAGGGCTCAGCTGACTGCATCATTGGAAGGGAGAAACCGTAGATGAGCTAGGTGTGCAACTGGCGTGTACCAACTCGAGGTGCATGTGGACATTATGTACACGTTATAAATGCTCTTACAGAATGCACCTCGAAAGTCTATAGACATGAATGACGGTGATCGCCTGCGCATGGCAAGAAGTAATTAGGCGCAGTTAGGAAGACTGGCTCTCCAGCATGTCGAACTCGGTGGTTGACTCTCGTTTTTACGGCCGTGCATCACCCACTGGCTCAAAGCCGTCGGCTGAAATGTTTGGACACAGGCATGTTGCATCGGAGCAAGCACCTGAAAAATCACATCCGGTGGCAAATCAGCGTTGTATGACAAGTAGTCAACGACCCTTCGGTATGCGGCACGTCGATAGAACTCTCATCTTGGCGAGACTTGTAGCTGCTGCAGTTGCGCCGCGGAAATCCAGAGTTTGAGGGCCACAGGACGTTGCGAGATTGTTAGTTTGACAAGTGCCTTGGCCCGCGAGCAGCGGAATGCAGGCAGCTACTGCCAAGGCTTGTGCGATGATTGCACTGTTGCTGCAGTGGCTAGTTGAAGCAATCGTTTGGAAAATGAAGATCCAGCCTGATGCCAAAGATCATTTTCGTGTTGCAAACTGTCGCCCGCTGACTCTGCAGGTCGCTCTGCCCAGAACACTGCAACCGCTGCTGACAGCCTTGCGCTCTAGGGCACCTTCGCCGACGTGCCTTGGCAAGCGGACATTGCATGGAGTTCGTAGCACTGCTAGCAGAATTCGGGATGCAACTCCGGATGTACTGGGAAGGTTTCGACTGCCGGTGCATTAACAAACTTGCGCAGCACTGTTATGAAGCCTGGACATTAAGTTGTATGTCTCCTGGAAGTTGACAAGCGTGACAAAGCCGAGAAAGCTCGTCAGAGGACGGAGTGTATGTTGCGAAGTCGGGCTGTTCCTGTGGGAGCCGCTGAGGGCTGAGGGACATCGATTGCATCACGACTGCCGCGAATGCATGACTGATCAGCAGTGGTTAAGCACGGGATGTGTGAGTGGGTCCAAAGTAGTCGGTTTGCTGCCGCTGAGCTCGCTAATGCGATTAGATGGCTAAGAGCAAGCCAGAACCCCTGAATTGCTCAATCTGAGCCCCACAGGCCCAAAGGTACCAAAGCTGAGGCTTCCTGCAAGTATTCGGCTTGGAATGCAAGGCCACCATTTCGAGAAGCAGTCAGCGAGAGCGTGCAGAAATGGCTATCGACTTGGCTTCTGCAGGTGAGTGCTGGTGAGTGGCTTTCCAAGTTAGGGTCCCTTTGGGTGCTTGTTCAGCGTACAGCAAATCGGATTATTTTGGCCGAATACGTTCGGTCTTTTGTCGCTTGTCCGGACATCTGTCGGCGTTCCCATACCAGTTCCATACCCTTCACGTCGTTTTGGCTGCCAGGCAGTCGGATTCCCGCGGAACTACTGGCGGAGAGTCTCAGCTTTATTCAATTGCTAGGTGCCTCCTCCCGGGTGCGTCTTGCATGATGCTGGAGAATCGGAACCCCTTGCTGGTAAGACACGTGGACCAAGGAGTGCACATTGCTTCTGTACTGTACCTGATACATGCATCTTTGAGGTATCAGCAACCGTCATCTAGAAACGGCCGAAAGAGACCTGCCGGTAACAGTCCGATGCAGGGCAGGATGCTGAACCCTGTCGTGGGTTGTGAAAGAGATGGTTGCTTGAGTGTTGGGATCTTCCTGGATGCCACTGTAGCTTTTGGTCAACTGCCTTGGGCGTCTTCCCGCCCTGAGCCTGGCTCTGAACCGCACTCTCTGCGTTTCCAGGCAAGGTCACCGAACGGCAAATGATTGTTTTAGATTTTAGATCACACACTCTAAGCGTTCACGCCGTGAGCTTCTCCTGAAAGCCTGTATGGTCAGGTGACGCCACACAAGGGGCAGAAGCAGCAATAAGGCCTGGTTGGTTAATGCAAGCAGTCGGGGCTTTGTCTTCGCAACGGCTTCTCCGTGTTGGTTCGTGGCCATGCATGAAGGCATCTGAGTGAGAGCCGGACCGCGGCCCAAAGCCCAATGGTGGAGGCACGAAGTCACCAAGCATGTCTCAGTTGTGTTTGGCCGCTCGTCTTTATGACTACTTCGATGTGATTACTGCCTCAATGTGTCTGAAACAAAACGGTCCACAGACTGAGCTGCAGATGCGTGTTGACAGCCTGTCCTCGGTGTTTACCAGGCTGGTCCAAGCTGAGTCCTCTCTTCTGCGAGCAGGCGAAGCTTCGGGAGGTTTTCAGCGAGGCGGTGTCTGGACTCGACGAGGCGAAGCTCGTCCCCCGGCAAGAGGGTGCGAGCTGCGCGCGAGCGGCGGGCTGCCACCTCCTCTTTGTTGCTTCGCAGCTCAGTTTTCTGCTCCCATTGCGAAGCAAGGAGCTGGCCTGGAATCTGGAGGTCTCTTCCGTCGATTTGCGGAACTTCCTCCTCATCTATGGCATGCGGCGGTCGACAGGCCATCGCAGGGTGCAGTATGATAAGGCTAAGAACCAGAAGCAGCCTACAACCGCGAGTCTGGCAGTTTCCAGCAAGCGCCTGGCGGAATCTCTCATGACAGCTGGAACTATGGGGGGTGCGAGGAATCCTGCGGAGACAGGCCCCCAGCCTTCAGGGGTATAATCAGCTTCGTTGGCAGCCTTTGTTCCGGGAGCAAGGTTGTGATGACGCAGGTTCTGGGAGCGCACAAGTATACTAGGTTACTTCCTGACTTCTGCTCCTTGCCCTCGAAGCTAGAGCTGCGCCTGCAGCAGCAGAAGCCAACATTTGTCATCTTTGCGTGCAGTACAGCATTGCTCGGGTAGGCGGCAGAGGTGAACGTACTGTGCATTTTGGGTCTTCTTGCCATTTTAATGATCGAGACTGAGGCAGCCGCGAAACTGGCCTGTACCGCAAGCAGGTCTCTGGCCACTACGTGGATGCTGGGCTGCAAGGTTAACTACAATGGCATGCAGAATGTGCTGCTTGAACACATGATGCGAATCTGCTTGGGCTGCTTGAGTTTCATGGCTGTTTACAGAGCCCTTCGTCCTCTGGGGGGCAGTGCTGGAAGGTTTCGAAAGAACCGACTCCTGCTGGGCCCTGGGAGGTGGCCCAGGCTGCGCTCGAAGGCTGGAGGGATGCAAGTGAGACCTGAAAGACTTCTGGGTTTCGGCCAGGACTATGTTGCAACAGACTGGCTCAGTGGAATAAAGTAGAAAAGGACATCTATAGGAATTAAGCGAATTGTTTCGAGCTGTCAGTCACGGTCACGGCACACCCCAACGAAGCTAAAGCTAAAGCTGTGTGTCAAGGTTGTTTGCTGTTAGTAGGATAAAGAATCGTGAAGGAGGTCAATCGGGGAGTAAGCTGTGTCACGCTTCGCTGTGCAGGAAATGCTGCGATAAATGGGGGAATTCACTTTAGGCCAGGCCTTGCACTGTGTCGCGATGCAATAAGGAACAGTAGCCAATTTGGCCAAGCCGCCCTGGCTTCAGAGTCTACAGTAGTACAAGCTATCATCACAGCCACAGGAGGATCGCCTCAGACACCCTTGCACCCCGCGAGGCGGCACTGTTTGTGCGGACTTCGTCCTCACTTGCGAGCAGGTGCACTGCCTGGGCTGAAGTGTTTCATTGAACCGACTTCATGAAGTTTTTTTCAGAGTTTGCGATGTTGGATGCCCTAGCTGGCTGAGACAAAATTTATTCAAGCAAGCCCGAGCCTGAGAGCGCAACGTCACGTTGGCCCTGCAGCATGAGGTGTTGGAACTGCGCTGTGTCGAGACCCAGGACGTCAAGCTGCATGAGGTTAGGGGCCTAACTGTTCATCATAGCCGACCATGCGAACGTGTGCAGCAGAGGGCAATGTTCCTCAATGCTCTTTTCCGAGCAGTTTCCAGTGCTCGATGGGCATGGCACGCGTGCGCTCACAAGGATGAGACATTCAGGCATGATGCAGCGAGTAGTTCAAGCTTTATGGTCTCGAAGCTTCAAAGTTCTCCATGTCAAACGCAAGCACTGCGGAGCAAGCGTCTAATGTAGGCTTCACTTGCATATGCTGTCCTGCTTCCTAGAGCACGGAAGACAGGCGTCGACAGTGGATCACCGACTTCGGCTTGAAGTGACTTCGACAACAAGTTGTTAGACGGAGGGCCTGCAAGCCCGGGTTTTTGTAGTGCTTCCTCCGGTTGTTCGGGTGTGTGTTTTCAACAGCTGCTGAGCATTGAATACGCGACTGCGTCAAGACCTGCTGCCGAGATTGTGCGGCTTGGAGTAATCGTTTCCCCCTATATTAAACCCCCTAATATAAGATTAACTCGTCACCAGGATTTTGCGATTTCGGGCCCACAGTTGAAAGTTGCTTAAAAAACAGTGAGGGGGAGCTAGGGTTTTATGAGTTTTAATAGAGCCAAAGACTACAGCAGTACTACTCAAACCGAAGCGACCAGAGCTTTAGGGTTTGAGGGTTTAGGGCTCAGGGCTTTATAGAGTTTAGAGCTTTAGGGTTTAGGGCGGGACTGTCTGCTCTACAGCCGGAGCGGCTGCGCGATAGGCGGTCTTTGTGTCTGGCTCAGTATTACTCACTCTCAATCCGACTCATACGTGGATGCCCCGAACCCCCCCCCCCCCCCCCCCCCAAATATTAAATTAGAATCCCAGAAATCAAGTTTTACATTAGGGAGAGGCGGGGGGGCCGTTTAATATTAGGGGGAAGGGATTTGAGTTGCTCATGTCTGTTTGCTGCAAGTGTCGCCTGTCCGGTTGTGATTGTCACGGCTTGGCAGGCGGAATGGACTGCGGCGCAAGGAGACGACAGAGAGATTCCGCGACTGATTTGAACAGCATTTGTCATTACCGATGTGTAGCAGACGCCTTCGTGTTGGAACCGTGCAGCTATGGCTTAGGCCGAGCTTCGATGAGGAGCGAGGCAGCGAGTTCGTGTGGCGAGTAGGGTGCTGGTCGCGATTATTAGAGGGGCTGAAGGGCTCCGGTTCACTGAAGCTGTCGTTGCACTGACAGTTGCGCATCAGAAGCCGGTTGAGAGATCGTAATCTGCGTAGCCGTAGACCTGTCTGCTGCTATCCTTCGTGATGTCGCCGGGATATTTGAAGAGGCTGGCTGATTACGGACCTCAACGGCGCCGCAGAGCTCAACAGCCCTGTGGCCCACCTCGAGGAAGTAGAATGAGCGAAACCATGCCGAGAGGCGGGCATGTTTGCCCACCAAGTGGTTCTTTGTGTGTAGCCTGTTCTGCCGGACGAGTTGACAGTAGCATCCGCAGGGAGTTCAGTCTCTGATGATAGCATTCAGCTAACTTGGATGTGATGCCGACTGTGTCGTCCGATGTTTCACCCACTAATCTCGCAGCCGGAGCGAAAGATAATCAAGAACGGTGGCCCTATTTTTTCGGTATTTTTTTCTGTTTTGTTTGGTATTTTTTTTCCGGGCTCCTGCCCAAGCAAGCAAGCAAGCAAGCAAGCAAGCAAGCAGGGAGAGCAGCAAGCAAGCAAGCAAGCAAGCAAGCAAGGAAGGCAGGAAACAAGCAAGCAAGCAAGCAAGCAAGGAAGGCAGGAAGCAAGCAAGCAAGCAAGCAAGGAAGGCAGGAAGCAATCAAGCAAGCAAGCAAGGCAGGAAGCAAGGAAGGAAGCAAGGAAGGAAGGAAGCAAAGGCAAGCAAGCAAGAAAGGAAGCAAGGAAGGAAGCAAGGAAGCAAAGGCAAGCAAGCAAGAAAGGAAGCAAGTAAGGAAGCAAGTAAGGAAGGAAGCAAAGGCAAGCAAGCAAGCCAGCAAGCCAGGAAGAGAGCAAGCAAGGAAGGAAGGAAGGAAGCAAAGGCAAGCAAGCAAGCAAGCAAGAAAGGAAGCAAGGAAGGAAGGAAGAAAGCAAAGGCAAGCAAGCAAGCAAGCAAGCAAGCAAGAAAGGAAGCAAGTAAGGAAGGAAGCAAAGGCAAGCAAGCAAGGAAGCGAGGAACCGAGGAAGCGAGGAAGCAAGCACGGAAGCGAGGAAGCGAGGAAGTGAGCAAGCAAGGAAGGAAGGAAGCAAAGGCAAGCAAGTAAGCAAGCAAGAATGGAAGCAAGGAAGAAAGGAAGCAAAGGCAAGCAAGCAAGCAAGCAAAGAAGTTAGCAGGCAAAGAAGGAAGCAAGGAAGGAATCGAGGAAGGAAGCAAGCAACCAAGCTTCGCAGCGCATGCCTGTAGAGCAGAAGCATCAGAAGCGTATCTGTAGACTGTGATATACATATGTATATATATATACATATATATATATATATATGTATATGTATATATTACGTGCATGTCGACACATACACACATACACACACACACATACACACGCACATACGCATACACATATATATATATACATATACTTGCGCACAAATGTATATGTAACAAGTAGCTGAATGTCTATGCGTATATGAGCAACTATGCCTACATAGCACGATTGGTTTAAAGCTGCGGCGTTTCACCGCGCAATCCCCACTGATAAAAGCACACTATGGATGTATTATGATCTTGTGCATCGGCTGATTGCACATCCATGCCTGGTCGGCTGCAATGGAATTTACACGTGTCCTTTGAAACCTTCCCTCTTCCAGACTTCCAGTGGCCGGGCCTTGAAAATGTCATTTTGGAGTACAAACTCAGCACGCGGAACGCTCTTCCAGTGGCCAGACTTGGAAATTGCTTGCTTGGAGTACAAACTCAGTACGCGGAACCCTCTTCCGGTGGCGGGGCCTTGATACTGCTCTATTGGAGTACAAACTGAGTACGCGGAACGCTCTTCCAGTGGCCGGGCTTGGAAACTGCTCTTTTGAAGTACAAACTGAATACGCGGAACGCTCCTCCGGCGGCTGGCCCTCGTGCTTTTGGAATACAAACTCAGTACGCGGAATGCTCTTCCAGTGGCCGGGCTTAGAAACTGCTTGCTCGGAGTACAAACTCATTACGCGGAACGCTCTTCCGCTTTCAGGGCCTGCTCTTTTGGAGTGCAAACTTAGTACTCCGAACGCTCTTCCAGTGCCCGGGCCTTGAACCGCTCTTTTGGAGTACAAACTCAGTATGGCCTCTTTAAGATGTACGATGGACCGGAATCTCGCATTCAGCGGGCGTTTTTAAGATATATGAAGAACCCCGCTGGTCTGGCGTGTCTAAAGTTATGATAGCCGGAATCGCCAAATGAGGGGCGCGTTCTAAATGCATAAATGAATAAAAGCAGTATATATATATATATGTACATATATATATATATATATGATACACCGGAAACGCTCAATCGGGGTGGGTTTTAATATATCTGATAAACCGGAATCGCCCAATTGGAAGGTGTTTAAGATATATGTTGACCCCCACTGGTCTTGCGTGTTGAACGTCGGGTGTGGTGAAAGTATATGATAGCCGGAATCGCTAGATGAGGGGGGTGTTTAAATATATATATATATATATATATACATATATGTATGTATATATATATATATATATACATACATATATGATAAACCGGAATCGCTCAATGGGCGGGGGTGTTTAAGATATATGATAACCGGTTTAAGTATATATGATAATCCGGAACCGCTCAATTGGGGGGGGGTGTTTCATATATATATATATATATATGTTATATATATATGTATATATATATATATTTGTTTATTTATTTACTTATGTATTTAAATATTTCTACTTGTTTATTTATATGTGACGAACCTCACTGGTCTGCCGTGTTGAAAGTATATGATAGGCGGAATCGCCAGATGAGGGGCGTGTGTATATAGATAAATATAAGTATATACACACATATATATATATATGTATGTATGTATGTCTGTATGTATGTATGTATGCATGTATGTATGTGTATATATATATATATACATATGCTGAACCGGACTCGCCCAATCGGGGGGCGTGTTTAAGGTATATGATAGCCGGAATCGCCAAATAAGGGGCGTGTGTGAATTTAAAACAAATATATATATATATATATATATATATATATATATATATTTACATGATAAACCGGAATCGCTCAGGGGGGGGGTTAAGATATATGATACCCGGAATCGCCAAAGCACGGGCGCGTTTAAATACTTGTTTAAGCGGAATCGCCCAAGTTGTGTTGAAGATATTTGATGAACCCCACTCGTCTGGCGTGCCGTGTTTAAGGTATATGATAGCCGGAATCGCCAAATGAGGGGCGTGTGTGAATTTCAACACAAAAAGATATATATATATATATATGTATATAAATATAAAAATATAAATATTTATGATAAACCGGAATCGCTCAGTGGGGGGGTTAAGATATATGATACCCGGAATCGCCACAGCGACCCCACAAGAGTCCAAAACCCAAAAGCCTAAACCGCTGCTGAGGAAAGACTTCCACGAGCCCGAAGGGCAAAGCGTGGCAGGATTTGTGAGAGA